ATGACTCAGCTAGGACCTGGGTTAGAGTCAAGCACTGATACTGAAAGGTTAGATGGCAGGCCAGCAGAGGAAATCTTGTAGGTGCCAAGGGCTCTGCCAAACAGGGAAAGGAAGGGAAGGGAAGGGGAGGACAGGAGAGGGGAGGGGAGGGGAGGGGAGGAAAGAAAGGAAGAAGGGAAGAAGGGAAGGAAAAGACTAGTCCAGCCACACTTTTAAAGCTAAATAGTTTAAGCTTACATTGATTTGGCCATTTATGCCTTTCCAGCGCCTAAGGAAATTAGGTCCCAGAATGGATTTGATAGGCAATGTTGCCAGGAAAATTGATGGACAAATGAGAAGTAGGACAGGTGTTGGGAGCAATTCTACATAATTTTGGGGAAATTCATTTCCCAATTAACATCATGATTAGGCCTAGTTCTCCTGGCTACATGCCAGCGATGGCAAGTGGAGACACAACTCCATTTTTGCCTCTGGTCACAGCTAAGACCTCAATGGTCTGGTAATGCTGTGATGCTCCAGGGCAAGATTACACCAGCTGAAGACATCCTGGGGAGGAACAAAATCTTTATCTGCATAGTTCCTCATTATTCTAGGATTTTTGCCTCTGCTGCCCTCTGAGCCACCTGTTATATTTGTTTCTCCTGATGCACTGAACTCTGTCCTGAATCATCTGTTACATTTGTTTCTCCCGATGTACTAAATAAAGGTGTGGCAAGTTCAGGGTCTTTCATATTTGCTGCCCAGAGCAGCACTGATCAGGCCCAAAGCTCAGCTTCTTCTCTAAGTCTCATTTTTCTATCTTTTCTGTCTAATAAATTAATTCGCCTTGGGCTGTCATGGCTCCCAGGAGACTAGGACTTACTGCAGAGGTTCTAGTAATGTCCCCTTTCCCTGCTCCCTACAGACAGGGACAAGAAGGAAGCCAGGCTGAGGTCCCTTATGAGCCACAGACCCCTGGAGGGCTCTCAGTTCTGCAGGGAAAGCAGGAGGCCCTGAGGAGACACCGCATAGTGCCCCAGTCAGAGGGTGCTGGAGTACACATTCCTGTGCACCTGCCCTTGGTTCAGGGCCGTCTCTGGAGACAGCAATTTCCAGGTGTCATTAATGATAGCTTTGAAGGGCAGTTCTAACAACCAAAGTACAGCTCTTATCACATGGGCAGACTTGTTGCTGGGAAAGAAAGTAGCCCAGGAGATGAGTGTACAGAAGTGCTGAAAAGGTCCAGGGGACCTGGTGGAGCCCCAGGCACAGGGTGCTAAAGGCTGACATTGAACCAAGTGCCTTAAGTTTATTTCAGGTCTATTTCCTGCCTTGAGCTCATGCCCAATAACCTTTTAAAGTAGAATCCACTATGATCTTCATGACTCAGGTGTAGAAGGTAAGGCCTAAGAGCTAAGCCATGTGCCTGAGTCTCAATTGGTAGAAAGTCAGGGAGCTGGCATTTGAACTCAAGTCTTATGAGCCAATGGCTCAAACTCTTAATCATGTTTACTTAGTTATTATGTTATGTACAAATAAATTTAGGGATTTCTAGTTCCTTGATTCCTGAATAATTCACAATATGAGTACTGATATTTTCATGAAAACTACAACTATTTTCCTGGATTATATAACAACCTTTTTCATATGCCAGAGAAGGTTAAAATATCTATGGCAATGTTGTATGGCTTAAGAGATAAAACCAATTTAGCTATTTGATCTTTGACAAAGGGGTCAAAAGCATATACTGGAGGAAAGACAGGCTATTCAACAAGCACTGCTAGGCAAACTGGTTATCTGTTTGCAGAAGATTGAAACTGGAGCCTTATCTCTCACCACATACATACTAAATTGAAATAAAAATGGATCAAAGATCTAAACATTAAAACAGAAACATTAAACCTACTGGAAAATAAAATAGGTAAAACACTAGTAGACATACTAGTAGACATAGGTGCCGGAAAGGATTTTTCTAAATAGTACCTCAGTACCACAAGGTATAATAGCAATAATTAACAAATGGGATTATATCAGACTAAAAAGCTTTTGTACAGCAAAAGAATCAATCAGTAGAGTGAAGAAACAACCTAAAGAATGGGAAAAAAATTTTGCCAGCTATTCCTCCGGCATCTAGAATATACAAAGAACCCCCCAAAATTAAATCACCTAAAAATTAAAGATCCAGTCAAGAAATGGGCAATAGAAAGGAGCAGACACTTCACAGAGGAAGAAATACAAATGGTCAATGAATATATGAAAAAATGTTCACCATCTTTGACCATTAGAGAAATGCAAATTAAAACAACTCCAAGATTCCATCTTACGCCAGAAATCAATTTGTAAAAATCAATCATTTGGAAATCAAACAATAACAAATGCTGGGGAGGCTGAAAAAGGTGGTGAAAAAAGAATTCTCCTTCCTTGTTGTTGGGAATGTAAGCTACTACAACCCTTAGGGAAATAAGTATGGAGATTTCTCAAAAAATTGAAATTAGAAATTTCATATGACCCAGCTATCCCCCTTCTAGGTACAGTATCTTCTGCAAAGAGTTTAAGACATCATACTTCAGTGAAATATGCATACCAATGTTTATAGCAGCACAATTCATAATAGCCAAATCCTGAAAGCAGCCTGTATACCCATCAACAGATGAGTGGAAAAAGAAAATGTGATATCTATATATAATGGACTACTGTGTGGCTGCAGAAATGACAAATTTGAGACATTTCTAGGAAATGGATGCACCTGAAAAATAAACCAGACACACAAACTTAAATACCATATAGTATCTCTCATTTGAGTGAGGAAAGTACAAATAAAGTGAATAAAAAAGGATAGTTAGAAGAGGACAAGGGGATGGATCTCCTGCAATAGAGAAGAGGACCAATGGAAAAAGGGTGAGGGGTGAGGAGGAGGGAGAGAGGAAATAAAAGCAAAGATATGCCATGTACAGGAGCCTAACTTCAATTAATGTAAACATTATATGCCATAACATAGGCTAATATAAAAAATATAAACAAGAATGAAAATTGGAATAGGGAAACTGGAGGAGGAGGGAGGAAGGAGGGAAGAAGGGAATTTAAAAAATAAAGAAATGGGCTGGGGATTTAGCTCAGTGGTTCCAGCGCCTGCCTCGCAAGCACAAGGTCCCAAGTTTGATCCCTGGTACCAAAAAATAAAAAAATAAAGAAACAAGCTGTAGTATTATACATGTAACTATTCCTCAAGATGATGGTAAAGTACATATAAAATATGTACGAATAAAACAAAATTTAACAAAAAGTGATAAAATCAGTGTATGCACACAAAATTCATGACATGTTAAGACTTTAAATCTGCATTATAGAAGCTTTATATGAAAATTAAAATGAATATGAAATCACATAAAATTTAACTGAATATGAAATTATCCTCATTTTGAGAAGCATGAGATCTTTAAGTAAATCCTTTATTCATGGCCTATGAGGTCTTTTTGTAAGATTGTAGTTTGTAGCTATGTCAACTCATACTCTACAATTCGCTTATTTAATTCCTGTTTTCTGCCGTACAAACATAATTGATGAGAACAGTCAATTTTTACCCATTTGATAAAGAGGTAAAATAAGAATAGCAACCAGATTGTACAACCAGAGTTTTAGGAATCTGAAGCATGTTTACTGTGATGCACTTTAAACTCCCCTGGCTTGTGGAGGAGGAATAAACTTCCTCCTGCTTCCCCTGCCAGTGGCTGAGGCATGTCTGTCTATCTGCTGGGTTTAACATGTCCTTCAAATAGCCTACTGGGGACACCTAACCTGAGTCTGGAATGGAAAATGCCAATGTTCTGAATGCAGGTCCTGGCTCCTGAGCCCATTCTCACGAATCTGCCTGACACAATTCTCCCTTTGCCGGAGCCCCTCAGGTAGGCTCCACAATCTAGGCTATGGTAATGTGACAGTGTAGTTGCTATTGCACAGCCAATTTTTCAAGTCTCCCTGTCGTTGTGCTTTTTGGTATTTCAGTCTGGGGCAGGCATACACCCTGGTGGCCTCTGTGTTCCCCGCCTTTGTATAAGCCCCTCTCCTCGAATATAAACTGCACCTGTGCCTTGCTTATCACCATTAGAAAATGATAAAAGTCAGGGTATAAGATTCTGTCTGGGCAGACTGGAGAGGAGATTCTTCTGAGGAAACTGAAGCAGTGAGCTGCCAGGATATGAACTGTCTATGGACAGGGCAACATGGCGGGGGACCGTGGGCAGCAGCACTTAGTTACTGAGGACTCAGTCCTGTGAACACAAGCTTGGAAGACATTCCAAGACTGAGATGAGACCCCAGCTCTAGCCAACACTTCGATGCCAGCCTGTGAAATCCAAGTTGTGCTCAAACTTCCAACTTAACAGAAACCATGAAAATACATGTTTCAAACTGCTTAGTTTACAACAATTTGCTGCAGGACAATAGAAACTCGATGCATTTAAATACAGGAATTCTGAGCTTGACCATGAAATTTGCTTAGGCCAATGGAAATGGAGAAAACTGGACACAAGTTGTGGCTTGACAACATAGTTCTGCATTTATTTTTCAATGTTTCCTACTGCCATGAAAATGCATCTGGGCTAGATTCCTGCAGAAATGGTGAGAGATGCCTGAAGAGAGATGTGGGAACACTTGCTGCCTCTGGGTTCATCGTAGCTCACTCAGACACTAACCAACATGCCTGCTGACCACAGGCACAGAAGGAAACCTATCAGGTAACAGCACAGCTCAGTTCAGACCAGCAAAATACCTAAGAAATAATAAATGGTTGTCATCATAAACAACCAAGTTTTGAGGTGCTTTGTTGTCTGTAGCAATAGATAATTACTATAGGAACCCACTGACTACAGCTGAGAGAGTTTACATACATACATGACTGCCTGTTTGGAATTTTTTTAAATCAAAAGACTTAAAGGCACAAAAGGAGAGATGGGTGGCTAATGAGAGGAAAGAGAAGATCATTTGCTAAAAACCCTCTTGACAAAAGAGAAATCATTTCCCTGTAACTTGAAAATACATTTTTTAATTTCCTTTAGTATTTTACACAGCATCTTTAAGCAGTAGCAAAAATAAAATTGTACACACATTTGATGTAAGTTCATTACAGAAGCATTTCTGTTTTCTTCTTTTCAGGGCCATGGTCATTTAGAGTCTGGCTGTGCTTATGCAGGAATATTTTTGGAGGTCTGAGACAGACAGAAAACATGTGCAAAAGAGTAGATTATCCCCCTGCCTTCCATATCTCATACCCCTACAGAATTACAGACGTCCTTCTGATGACACACAGGCTCCTGTAGGAAATGGGACAATCTGTTCCTTGGGTAGATACAGGGGCTGGGCAATTGCAGGAAGGGGAATCCAGTATGGGAGCTGCTGAAACAAACAACAAGAAACTATGCTATCTTAGAGACAAAGGGGAAAGGCACATCAAAAGTACTTTTGCGTTCTGTAGGCACAAGCTTTGCTCATGGACGCAGGCAGTCCAGCAAATAGAAGCTCTGGGTGACTTTAGATCAGGGGCTTTGCTTCTTCCCAGAGGATAGCACTATTCTTTTTGACCCTCACAAACTCACCACTGGGAGTAATTCGATATAGGCAACATAATTCAGTTTTGATTCACTAAATGTCAGTGAACAAAATGTAGTCCAAAGATTTTTTATGTGACTTTATGTGACTTTTGTTACCCAGTTTGGAAGAGAAAACTGATGGACTATCTCCACAGCCTAATTATCAATTGGTTTCCCTGCAGACAAATAAAATACCTTGCAGTGTTTCTTTTTCTAATCTTGCTAAATGCAGGCATATTTAAATATGCCTGTTTTTAGCCATTTAATATTTCTTGTAAAATTTTCATTGTCAGATAGAATGGACCTGGGGCTATGGCTGAAAGATAAGGAGGAAAACATAGTCCCTGGGGCAGAACAACATCATTTATTGGCAGATAAAACTGCTTCTTTGGAGCTGGGGAATGTAGTTTAGTAATACTACATGTGCTTAGCATTCACCAAGGCATGAGTTTAATCCCCAGAATCAGAAAAAACAAAAACTGCTTCTTTGAAGAATATAAAGTCTTTGGAATACTTCATGGGATGCTGCCTTAAGAATTCTGCCAACATGTTACTTGGGGATCTTTGGGGGCTTTCTGCTACTGTTTGGGTGGTCCCATTCTTGTAATGGTGCCCAGCTAACAATCCAATAAAAACTGCCCACTAGAAAAAGATCTGCTCAGCTGCTTCCAGGAGGCCCAGCAATATGAATCACCCATGTTTCTGGAGCTACGTAAAAGCTTTGGCTTGCCAGTCACTCCACTCAAGTGAACAGCTGCTGGCCTAATCACTCACCTTCTATTTGCCCTCCAACTTCTTAAAGAAGATTTTATTCCAGAATTGTTTCACTTTCATATCTTTCATCTTTTAGGGATGGCCCTCCTGGGTACTTACGCCTATTCACCCCTAATCCAGACTCATTTCCTCCAAAATTCCCTAAGGTGTAAAGGAAACACAGTAAACAGAGAGGATCCAGGTTTTAGCTGAAGCTTCATAGCCACTCAAAAACAAGATTCTTTTTTCAGGATCTTGACTTGAAATGTAGACCTATATTATAAGTTAAAAAGGTCATTCTATAAGTAATTTTCACAGTCCAATTTGAAAGTGCTAGGACTTTAAAGTACTTCTTCATTTTGGTTTGTCATTTTTGGTACATACTTTTCTCTACTTCTGTGATGGGACAATTCTTTACAGGCTTGCAACAACTTCAGCTAATTTTTCATGTGTAAGCTCACCTTATCAATTTCAAGAGTCTATCCGGAGTTCTTGATTGTCTGTCAATATGACAGTTAGCCATAATTTTCCATAAAGATAAAACTCTTATCTTTGTTCAGGGGAAAAAAAGATAGGCGACCTCTGGATTACATTTAAATACTCAGGTATGTGCTCTAACACAATTCTGTTAATTCTAAGTTCAGTAGCTGGTTACAATGCAAAGTGAGAGAAAAAGAGCAACTCCCTTTTAGAGGAGTAACCTTAGTTTTCAATTAAAAGTGCTCATCTGCTTTTAGGATTAAATCAAGAACTATATTTAAATTTTTTATATTATTAATCAAATGCTGCATAATTATAGTAAAAACTCCAGCATACCTTTTAGAAGAACTCCACTGTGATTTTAGAATGTGTCATCTTCCTTTTTAAAAATAACTGTTGTCCATGGATCCAGGAGTCTTAATGAATTAGCAATACCCATCCATCACTTATAAAAATCATAAGCTCTTTCTGTCCCTCTTGCAAAACTTGAAATAACATCATAGCAGGACTATAATCAGCCATAACAGTCACATTCACAATGTGCAACTGAGCTATAATGACACATATAAAAACTATTTTACCACAAAGTTGTTTCCCTGAGACATTTGCGTCTGCCTATCAATATAAAAACAGCACTCAGGGGTAAGTGTAAGTTAGCAGCACATTTCAACTGAACAATAATCCATCCAAAACTGTCACTTTCCAGCATAGGACAACTACCACAATCTGAAACATATCATATAGGTACATATAAGATGTGCTTGTTATCCCATTCAGTCACTGAGCATGAAGAATTTCATGTTTGGACAGAGTCTTTGGAAACAATAAGCTTCCCTTTCTCAGGTCACCATCATAGCTTCATCTCCAGGGTACTGAGAAGCTGTTTCAGCCCACATTGCTTTACTTTGCCTCTCCAGTTGATGCTGGTGCTCATTAATTTAAAAAAAAGTAAAAGGCAAACAATAAAGGTTGCTTCAAAAGAATTTTTCCTCCCTCCCGTCAGACAGAAGCTGAAGTCATTTCTAAAGGAATCCATCATATTTACTGTTCATGGTGCCTCACTACTCCAAAAAGAGAAGAGAGAGAGAGAGAGAGAGAGAGAGAGAGAGAGAGAGAGAGAGAGGGAGAGAGAGAGAGAGAGAGAGATAATGTGTTTTGTTACTCAGCAAATAAAAAAGAGGAGTGTGGGTTGTGTGCACATTAATACTGATAGAATTGACTACCCAATATTATTGCCTTCACACATCTTAAACATAAGTTGTGATTAATTGATAATATTGCTGGAATTGCCCATAATCAGCCAGCCTTGCATTTATGTTTGAACATCAAAATTCATAGCATTTAATGAGTCATGGATGGTACCCATAGAAGAGCATAACTTCGTCAGTTATACAATTCGAGTAAAGTCCACAACAGTGTTCTTAAATTATATTCTGCTTTAGAATGCAAAAAAGCACAGTGGGCACATCATCCAGTGGCACAAAAATGTCCACATTAAACATAAGTAACCATTTCTTTAGGCTTCTGAAATTCATCCACAGGTAGTGGGCCCAAGTGTCCATGTTCCTGTTCCTGAAAACCTGCACTTAAAGACTGCACATCTGGAACAAGACAAAGTTAAAAACCAGAAAGTAAATATCCCCAGGCTGCAGTCACTTCCCTGAGGATGGAATATTTTGCTTTTAGAAAGCAAATTAAGGTTTCAAGTACAATCAGATAGAGCTAGTTTGTCAAAACATAATTAACTGAAGGATTTGTGTATCAAAAGTTATCTGAAGAGACTAACTCAAATTCCATCCCATACAAATATTCGGTCACTGGGTCACTGGGAATTAAATGGATTCAATTAATTCACAGGAATTTCATCCCACAACAAATCATTAAAAATTATAAAAGAGGAAGAGAAAAAAATTGAAGGCAATCAAGAAAAGATGATGAGGCCAATTAAGCTTAAGTAACAATTTCTTTGTTCTAGAAGACATTTTGTCAGGCACATAAAAACAAATAGGCCATTCTTTCTTCTTATTACTATTGTGAGGGGATGTGCTGTTTGTCTTGAAGGTTAGAACCTGGTGGTTTTTTAGAAGCTGACTTCACTGTTGGGATGTGTCTCCCTATAGGAAATTGTTCCCTTCCTACTGCCTAACTTTTTCTTAAAGACATTTTCAAGCACTGCGAAGATGTGGATTCAGTGTTTGTGGTAGCTTCAGGGAGAATTCAAACAGAGTACTTTCATTATTTTAGCAAAACAATGCATCTATCAGCATGGTAGATGGCCCTGAAGCTATTGTTGAAAAGGACTTTCCTTTGCTTGTTTTTGTTAACTCTTACTAGCTTCTAGGAAAATAAATGCCATTCATGTGTCTTGAAAGAATTAGTAATATTTTCCTTCCTTTCTGATTAATAAAGTCAAAAGTATGCATTTTTAAATACTTCAAATAATTTAAATAAATCACTGGGTTTTTTCTTACCAAGGCATAATTCCTTGAATACTACTCTTTTCTAAATTCTGTTTACTATAAACTACCATTTGAGAAAAAAACTCCATTATAAAAGTAAATAAATAAATAAATAAATAAATAAATAAATAAATTTTTTAAAAACTCCATTATTCAAACTTTCACCCCTTAGCTTAGTTTATTCCAAGTACTGGCTTAGAATTACTTCTTAATGAATTAATAAATCTATCACAATTAGAATTTGTCCCACCAAAGCCTGTGCCTCCTGCAAAGGAAGAAATGTTCTATTTCCATACATTTAAAAAAAATACAAAGAATGATAATGCAGGCTCAAATTAAGTTCAAATAGAAATAAAATTTTGCCTGAATATATTAGTAATATTTGCATATATGGACGAAATTGGTTTGAAAGTTGAAATTGAACATTTTCATTACTGTATGTGTATCTATTATTTAAAATTAGTGTATTTTAGTTATTAATTTGGCTTAAAGACAAAGAAAGATTCATTGGCAACCTTCAAAGGCATTAACGCATGATTAAAGGAAATCTGGATATCACTTAAATATTAAACATACTAATTTAACAAGAGTATATATATGAAACAGAAAGGATACATTGTGTTAGCCACTGTAAATATATTAAATTAAATTTTTTTAATCATGCTAAAATATATCAATATAATTAAGGACAACAGAGCTCAGTGAGAAGTAAATAAAAAGCATAATTTCAGCCACCAGATTGCAAATTATATAGAATAAACTGTCCTTTAAGTAGGTACAAGTGCAGTTTGCTTTGGCAATGCAGACATTTCTTGACATTACACCAGAGTTATAATAAGCCAGTTGAAGAAGAGCTTAGGCTAATAAAAATCTAGGAAATTCTCTTCATAAGTGCTTCCTACTTAGCAACAGGGACACTATCTGGCATTTTCTTTCTTTGGGCTGTCTCAGTGAGTATAGAAGGAATTTATATTTTATTATATAACTTATTTTCATTTCACATTCCCAAACAATAAACATTTATTTAAAACGTAGGTAATTTTAATAAGACAGACTTAGAATAAGGAATAAAATATCTCTTTCATAGAGTCTATGAACTCTTCAAAGTGCTCTACAAACACTATAAGTTTGATTAGCAGCAAAGCATTAGTCTAACCAAAACCTCTCTCCCCATATATATGTACATATATACACAGTATACATCCATATATGCTATAAATCTAAGTTAAATCTGACAATTGATAATTATTCCCAGATGTTGTGCAAGGTTATAAATACTGTCTACATTGGATCATGGTTCAAGACCACTAGCACCCAAGTGGTTAAGAGAGAACCAATCCTTTCAGTTAAAAAAACACATATTTTGAATATCTTTTAAGATAAAAAAGTTGGGGATACAGTAAATCACCCAATATATCATTCTAGGTCCTATAATTTTCTTTATCTAAAATTATTTTATATACATGGAAGACTAGATGTCTTCCAACATAGTTTCAGCGATCCCGAGTATAAAATGTTTCTTTGAAAAATATGGCTTTTTAAAAAAAACTTGGAGGAAAGTTCTTTGTGTATGGTCCCCCATCCACACACAAAGAGATGAATTTTGCAGCATTTTCTCCCAGGAACACACTGATAGCCCAGTCATCTTGTATATAATTATAGACTGCTGGAAAGGAACTCCCTAGAACTATGACTGTCATATACCCCTGCCCAAGACCTCCTGAATAAAGGTCCTGCAGGCCCCATGGCATTTTGGTCTTTTCTCTTCCACCCCCATCTATCAACATTCAGTCCTTGGACATCTTGCAGCAGTGGTTGAAATCAGAATTTGAACTTCATCAGGAAAATCAAATGCATTCAAAATGCATTTTCATCTTTTGGTTGGGTGATTCTTGATTTGCCATGGATAGGAGTGATATCTAGAAGATTGAGAAATAGAAAGAGTCCTCAGTAGTCACAAATATTGCCACTCGCACATTCAGTTTCAAAAGCTGTGGCTAAGGTACATAAGTAAATAAATCACAATGAATGAAAAATGATTTTATTACTATGAGAACATTTCTAGAAAGCTATCTTTTGCTGAAATCCAGTGCCATAGGAGTTTCTCCCTAACTACAAACTCAGAAAGAACTGATAATCCTTTATACTGCAAAAATAAGTACCCATTCAAAGTAGTTTGAACATTTGAAATAAGCAAATAAACCTTAAAATAAGTATTTTACATGTTCACTGGTCATATAAAAAAATGAAAGTTGATTCAATGTAGATTTCATTTTATCTTACACATTATCATTTCTCAGTGCATATTTCATTATCAGAAATTAAATACTAATGTATATCCCATTCCTTAGTATATTCATAAAGATGATATATTTGCCATCTACTCATTGAGTTATAATCTTATAAAAGTGATAAAATTAAGGCATACTAGGTTGTAACCTTCTGGTAAAGAAACTAAGTGTTTATATACATAAACCGTAATTTTTTTTCCAGTACTGGATATCGAACTCAGGACCTTGTGCTTGCCAGGCAGGCGAGGTATCACTGAGCTACATCCCTGGCCCTATAAAACATAATTAATCATACAATCCTATAAAAAAATAAGAGAAGAGCCTGCTTTGGGATTAGTTATGAGGCTGCTCAGGCCTGTTTTGTTCTTCTTTCATTTGTCTTTCTTTTCTGCCTCTCAGCTCAGTGCTTGCTCCCCTTCCTAGAAGCCCTGAAATAAGAAAGCCCTTGTTTTGGTGAGAGCCAAACAAAAGCCCTTTTGTTTCTGTTACTGTTTCCTTTTCTTAATGTAGCATTTTTGGACCAGAATCATTCTTCACAACTAACTGCCCAAGCATTTTCTCCAATATTTCAACAGTTCCAGAAGTGTTCTCCAAATATAGCTAATAGATTGATGATGGCTTTATCCTAAAACTTTCAGTCTGAACACAGGACCTCTTCCCTAACTAAATATTAGGCCTGCAGTCTAAACTGAAAATGTACTGCATCATGGTTTCACAGTTTAATAACTGGGTGGATGATGAGCATAAGTTTGAAAACAGTTTTAAATTGTAAACTTGAATGATAAAATCATTATGCATGTAATTCCTTTTGAAAGATTCTCAAGCAAGATAAGTTAATAACGTTTTGTGATGATGATGATGTGGATGATAACAAGATGCTGACAATGGGAAGAGTAAGTCTGGGGAGGCCTTAGGAGAGGAATCAAAATAATGCTTCCCATTCCCAACCATCCAGCTAGTATAACTTTTCTCAACTTGTGTTTCATATAAATGATGAGGAAAAACTAGGATAAACACACAAGGTCAATAGAGCTCTTTCCTATAGGACTTCTCAGAGACTTTAATAGAATAATGAATGTCAAAATCCTCCCAAAATATAATATTGTATATTGGGAGTATATTTGGTCATAAAACTTTATTTTCAGTGAATATGTATTATCTTTGATAATATTAGTCAATCTATGGACACTACTTGGGTAAAATATACCACTGATTCTACATATGGAGTCTAAATTTCTCTGCATGTCCTGTGACATTAAATGTGCCTGCGGTGTGTAAAAAAACTCACAACCAGCGGTTCTGATTTATATTCTGAGTTACTTTTACTAGTAAACTTTAAAGTTCTCCTCTAAGACATGTTCTATAGCGCAAGGGATTTAGCTCAGTGGTGCAGGCACAGGGTCCCAAGTTCAATCCCAGGTATCAAAAAAAAAAAAAAAAAGATATGTTTTGTCATTGCTATTAGAAAACAAATCAGGAATAGAATGGATATATGGATTGAAAATTTTAATATTTATTTTTATTAAAACATATTTATCATATATATTGATGTGAATTTTAAATATGACTTATTAAAAGTAATTTGGAGATTTAAAAATTTGATGTTATAACCAGGTTACTTAAACTTGATTGTTCAAATCATGCCTTCGTATTCTTTCTATAATTCCAAATATAAGTATGAAGAGTTTTTACATTAGTTACTGAGCATCTTATTATCTGTTTTTTGTAAGAAAATTTGCAATATCTTTTAATAAAGAAAAACCTCTTTAAAATGAGGTATTTTTAAACTTACTGATATTGGAACTAAAAAGCATAACTATAGACAATGAGGATCACAACCCCAGGAAGCCCAGCAGAATTAATTCATTGGGCACGACAAGAAATTAAATGCAAAGGGGGAGAATCCAACAAAAAGAAAAAGTCGTGACAATGATAAGTCAATATGTATCTGTACTGGCTATTTATCATCTTCTTGTGTCTACTTTTTAATTGGGTTTTCTATTAATGAGCTGTAAGAGTTCTTTATATATTCTGGTCTTAGGTTATATGTATTGTAAATATGGTCTGTTTAAGGACTATTTTTCATTTTCTTAATGATGTCATTCAAAGCTCTAAATTTTGATGGAATCTCATTTATCAATTTTTTTCTTTTATATATCATGTTTTTTGGATCCTAGGAAATTCTTGCCTACCCTAAATTCATGAACATTTTCCCTTATAATTTCTTCTTAAAGTTTTATAGTTTTAGTCTTTCATATTTAGGTTCATATATCCTTTCAAGTTGTTTTTATGTATGGAAATAAAGGGTTGAGGTTAATTTTTTAC